CAACCCCGCCCAGGTTCAGTATTTTTATCCTAGCCCCCAAGCTGGCCACTGCAGTTGTGAGAGGGAACTAAGGTCACTTGGGGCTCCTCCTACATCCTCCATAAAAATCATGCCCCGCCCCCAAATCAAGTCACCTGGAATTGGAAGCTGCTCATCATCCAGCTGTAGAGTCTGAGGTGCCAAGTTCCGTGCCTGCGGGGGCTCCCCAACCCCCTGGTAGCTGGAAAAAAGTCCTTGGTGGGGGAAGGGTCTAGGGACTTCACATGCAGTGAAGAGGACCCCAAGGACCTGAGAAGGAAAGGGACACAGCCCTTGGGACCATAGCAGCAAGGTTCTGCTCACAGACAGGCCTGGACAGACCAGTGAGCAAAAGTTCAAGTGAGCTGGGCACGGTGGGGCCTGCCTGTAATCCCAGCGGCTCAGGAGGCTGAGGCAGGAGGATCGCGCGTTCAAAGCCAGCCTCAGCAAAAGTGAGGTGCTAAGCAACTCAGTGAGACCCTGTCTCTAAGTAAAATACAAAACAGGGCTGGGGATGTGGCTCAGTGGTTGAGCGCCCCTGGGTTCAATCCCCAGTAGCAAAAAGAAAAAAAAAAAAGTTCAGGTGAAAGAATGAGGTTTCTGAGCCAAGGACTTGGGGGAGAAGGGGCAACAACTCCAACCCTTGCTTCTGAGCACTGAGAACTCTCCAGACATGGAGCTGGAACCTCCACACCATCCACACAACAGACCTGGGAGACAAACTCTGGCCCTGCCCCTGTTTCACAGATGAGGAAACCAAGACTAAGGAGCAGAATCCTGACAGACAACCAGGTGCCCAACTCTCACGCAGCTGCCCCTTCCCATCTCTGGGTTGCCGTCAGAGGGGCCTAAAGCCTGGTGGGGAGCTTCTTAGTGGAGGCAGAGGGTAGGTCACTGGCTTCTCCCAGGGATAGTTCCAGTGTGACTTGGGCTAACTGCTGAGCTGTGGCACCAGCCAGTGCTGGCTTCCTGACCTGCTGTGTGTCATACACAAGAGACTTTGCCTTTCTGGGTCTCAGTTTCCTCACCTGTGAAATGGGATGATCCAGCAGCACCAGTAGGTGGGAGAATCCCTGGCCAGCACACTGTGAGTCTCAGCAACTGGAGGGTGGGTGCCCAAGCTTCACGGGGGTAGGCCTGGCAGACACTGGTGAGCKGGTACATGGTGTGAGACCTGGGAGTCGTGGCCACCGAGAGGCTGTTGCTGTGGTAGAGGCGCTTTGTCAGCAAGAGGGCCAGGCCTGCCGTTGGCCGGGGCGCCAGGGCAGTTGCCGGCATCCCCGGGAGAATGAATGGGGCTCAGTGTGGTGGCTCCGCTGAGCTCAGAGCCCCCTTTGTGCTGCCTCAAGTGGCCGTTGGGAGTGCAGCCAGTGACCTGCTGGCGGGTGGCTGTCCCCAGGCCCTCCTCAGCCTGCACTGGAGGCCAGCCAGGCTGCCCCCCTGCTGCAGCCCTGGACACCGAGGAGCTCCCTCCCTCCAGGCTCTGCCTCTGGGACCCCGCCCCCAGGACACCCTGCTTCCCTGCCCTGGCACGGGCGGGCTGCTGCCTCCCCGAGTCCCTCTAGGGCCAGCTTGAGCCAGGGGCTCCCAGGAACCCTGCTCTGGTTTCGGTTCCCACCTCCCAGCCCCTCATCCCCAACCTGTGACTCAAGCAGGGACAATGTGGGGGCTTCTGGAGGGGAAGGAGAAGACAAGCCCAGGGAGGGGGCAGGTGCTGTCAGGGATGGAGACCTAAGTAACAGGCGTCAGCCAGGGCTGGGGTGGCGGCTCAGTGGTGGGGCGCTTGCCTAGCCTGTGTGAAGCCCTGGGTTCGATCCTCAGCACCACATATAAATAAATCAATAAAGATCCATTGACAAATAATTTTTTAAAAAGGCATTAGCCAACCTGAGTCCTCACCTGCATGACCTTGGGCAAGTCAGGTCACCTGAGCGTCTTTTTTTTTCCCTTCAACAAAATGAGGCAAATACAGCATGATTCATGGCAGTGGAATAAAATGTTAATACTGGGGGCACCACTTGCACCTCACTCACTTGTGTCTTTATTTGCATATTCCAAACAGACTTCAAGCCTCCCCATCCATGTGACCCTCTTCCTCGGGCCTCTCCTGTAAGTGCCCAGTGGAGGCTTTTCCCTGGTTTGAGTTGGTTGCCTGGTATTGGGGGCAGTGCAGGACGATGGCGAATGACCCTGGACTTTGAGAGCAAAGAGAAGCAGCTTTGAATCCCAGCTTCAGAGCTTCCTGGCTGGGTGGCCTTGGCCAGGCCACTTCACAGCTCAAAGCCTGCTTCCTCTCTGTCATTTGTGCCCAACCATAGCAACCTCCTAAGAGGGATGTTGTCAAGTGTCAGGGCCAGACCCAGTGAAGCTCATGGGAGCAAAAGAGCCATGGCTGGAAGGGCCATGGGTGTCACACGGCCATTCTCTGTCCTGTGTCCCCCATGCATTGACTCTACCACAGGCCAAGCCTCCACCCCACGAGCCTGCCTTCCTCGTCCCCTCCACCTCCTCACTCCTTCCTGGCTGGAAGAGAAAAAGAGAGGACCCAAACCAGAGTCAAAAACTCTCAGTGGCTCCCTTTCCTGCCCTGTGCCTCAGTTTCCCTGTTAGATGGCGGCAGGACCGGAGGCTCTTGAGGTCTGTTCAGCCAGTCAGTCAACAAACATTTACTGAGGACCAGCCTCATACGGGGCCTTGCTGTTCAGCCAGCCCACTGGAAGCAGGCAAAATTCCCCTCCAACCAGCAAAGCAGAAGCCCAGGCTGGGAAGTCACTCATGACCTCTTGGTCCCCCAGGGTTTGCCAGCCGTGGTGATGGGAGGCTCCAGGCAGCTGGGTGGCCTTCCAGCCTGCTCCTGACCCCTTCTGCCTGCCTCCCCTAGCAGCTGCCTGCGGCCCTGAGGGGAAGTGACTGACAGATGTCAGGGTTCAGGTCAGGGATGCTAGGGTGGAGGTGACAACATCACCGGAAACCTTGCTAGGGCTTCTGCTCACAGGATGTGACTTGGCAGGGGGGCTTGTGGAAAACAGGCACCGGGCCCTAGTCTGAAAGTACGACAGTGGAAGCCACATGAGCCCAGGACAAGTCCCCCAAAGCTATTGTCCCCTTCCACATCTTACATTGGCACCCATGTCCTGAGGCTCCGCCCTGGCTCCACCCCTAGCTCAGATGGGTGGGACCCTGATATGGGGAATGTGTGGGGTTTGTGCCAAACCCACCTGGTTCAAATGCCAGTATGGCCACTGTGATGTCAGCTCTGAGGCTCAGGGTCCTTATGTGCACAGTGGAGGTGAGAGCGGGGCCTGCCTCACACAGGTCAGGGACAACTGAGGTAATTCCCACAGAGCATTAAGTGTAGAGCGTGGACCATTTACTTTCCCTCAACAAATTGTAGTTACAGCAATTATCTCCCTCCCTACCCCTGATTTAGCCAAGCATCTGCCTGCTTCTCATAAGTAATATACTTGTAAAGTGTGGCCACACTGCCCAGCTTCTTGGTCTAATCCTCAAGACTCTTCTTGGCAGAGGGATAGGTCACCTTTCCCCAGAACAGGACCTCGTGGGACATCAGGGTCATCTCCTCCTGCGAGGAGGCTTTCAGGTCAAGCCGCAGGGATAAGAGCTTGGAGCAATGGGGAGGGCTTCATGGAGGAAGGCAGGGAGCAGGTGGGGTGAGATCCAGGGAGCACTGTCCTGAAGGCAGGTGGGCTTGGGAAGCTGGGAAACAGTAGGGAGACTGTGGAGCTGGAGCCTGCCAAAGTGAATTGGAAAGAGCAAGGGTCACACTCAGGGTTTTCCTAAAGACAGTAGAAGATTTCAGAAAGATTTGGCCCTGGCTGTGCAAGGATCGGACGGAATGGCTAGACTGGAGGGCCAGGACTCAGGCTCCCTCCACAATAGGCTGGAGACGAAGGAACAGATTGAAGGGATGAGGCAGAGGAGGCAGAAAGGACAGCTTCGCTGGGCTGCTCTGTGGGGAAGAGCTGAAGGAAGGATCAGGGGGCTCCTGGAGCCAGGAAGATTCTGGAGAAGGGACAGGAGGACCGACGCAGAGTAAGTGGTGGACATGGTGCTTGCAGAAGGACAGTATGCCTCCAACAACCCCACTGCTGTCCTCTGGTCAGACTATAAATAGGGTGGGTGATGAGAGTCTTGTTCATATATTAGACCAGCTTCATCACTGTGACCTTGGGCAAATGACCTTCCCTTTCTGAGCCTCAATGTCCTCTTCTGTAAAACGGGTTGGCGGTCCCGACTGGATTCAGGATTCTGCAGGAACGCTGAGCACACAGGGAGTGCTGCACCTGTTAGCCATTTTCGCGATTACTGACTCGTGCTAGACCAGCTCTGGCGCAGTTGGGAGGAGGCAGGGTTCTCATGGGTCCCATCCCTGCCTCCCAGAGAACCGAGGGTCCAGGGTTAGAAGGCCCTGGCGTTGCTCGCTCGCTGCCTCCAGTGTCGCCGCGCCCCCTGGCGGCCATCGGTTGCCATGTCAACGGCGGGTGGCGGGGGCCGGTGGAGGCGGCGGCTGGGGCCGTTCTCTCCTCCCAGGGCCGGAGGCCGCTCCCTCTGCGCCTCTTGCCTTCGCCTCTGGGGGGACATACCCAGCCAGGAAGGAAGGGGCTCCGCGCAGCAGCAGGCCTGTGGGGGTAAACTGAGGCACGCGGCAGGGCGCCCTACAACCAGGTGTCGAGCGCGGGGCCCCACCTCCGAAGGCGGAGGAGGGGCCGCGGGCGGTGACGCGCCGAGGCGGCCGGCGGGCAGCGAGCGGGCGGGCGGGCGGGCGACAGGAGCGGCGGCGGCGGCAGGTGCGGCCGCGGAGGGTGGGAGGGAGGCGGGAGGGGGCGGGCAGAGGGGGAGGGGAGGGCGAGGTCGGGGCGCCTCCCCCTTTATAACGCGCCCCCTCCTGGGCTCTCCGGCCGCCTCCTCGTCCGCGCTTCCCGTATCGCCCCCTCGCCCGGCCGCCCCGGGCCCGGGCCCGGCCAGGGAGCCCCCTAGGCCGCGGCTCGGGGGCCACCCCCCCTCGTCCGCCGCCCCGCGCAGCTCCGCGGAGGCGGCGCCGTCGGAGGAGGAGGAGCAGGGCACTGCGGCTGGCCCCGGATCGGGCGCCAGAGCGGCAGCAGCTTCGGCAGCAAGCGCGGCCCGGGCCGATGCAGCGGGACGCACCGCCCAGAGCCCCAGCCCCAGCGCCCCGGCTCCCCGGGCCCCCGATCGGTGCCGCCGCCAGTAGTGGCGGCGGCGGCGGAGGCGGGGGCAGCGGCGGTGGCGGAGGCGCCTCTGCAGCTTCGGCTCCCCCTGGCCTCCCGGGAACTACAAGTCCCAGGGGGCCTGGCGGCGGGCGGCGGCCGGAAGAGGCGGGGTCGGCACCGCGAGGCCGGAAGTGGCCGTGGAGGCGGAAGTGGCGCGGCCGCGGCGGGGCCTGGAGCGCGGCGGCTGGACCTGGAGCGGCGGCGGCTGCGGCTGGGGGCGGTGGCGGCGCTCTGGAGGCGGCCATGGCAAAGCAGTACGACTCGGTGGAGTGCCCCTTTTGCGATGAAGTGACCAAATATGAGAAGCTTGCGAAGATCGGCCAAGGCACCTTTGGGTAAGGCTGGGCCTGGAAGGGCCGGAAGCCCTAAACCTGCACCTATGGGGGTCCTACTTCGGGGCCCCAGGACCCGGCACGAGGAGGTAGGGAAGCCGCGGAATCCTGGGGCTGTTCCTTGGTTGCGCTAGGCCGCGCCGCAGCCCACCCCGACCCGACGGAGTTGGCTGGCGGGGAGGAGCCAAAGGCCGGGGGTTGGGGGCGGGGAGGGGTTGCAAAGAGGCGCCCTAGAGGGGAGCGGGATCTGTACGAGAGATGCATCGGTGAAAGAAGGGCTCGAGGGAAGGGCGCAGAGGCTCAGGGAGAGACCAAAGGTACCGAGTGGTGGAGTAGCCGCGTGCCAGCCCCGCCAGGGAGTTTCGTCTTTCCTGCAGCCCCTCCTCTCGTAGGGGAGGGGCGGCCCCCGCTGAATCGCCTGATGAGCTCTCTTGGGTCTCCCTCCCCGCCTGCAGGGAGGTGTTCAAGGCCAAGCACCGCAAGACCGGCAAGAAGGTGGCTCTGAAGAAAGTGCTGATGGAGAACGAGAAGGAGGGGGTGAGTAAGGGTCTGGTGAGCAGGCCTGCCAACTGCCAGACCACTGGGTTGGGTATCCATCCTAGTGCTTCCAGGAGACTCGGTTTATACCTAGTAGTTTTGGAAATGTCCATATTGCAGGGAATTTGGCCTCTCACCGAATTAAATTCAAATGTTCTGAAGCATTTGATGTTTCAATTTAAGCAAATACGGTTGGGGCCAAGAGGGGGAGCTCATGCTTGCGTGGTGTGTATGTCGGTTTTAAGTTAGGAAGCCTTGAAACATCTTTTCCTTGGCGTTTAATATTGTTTGATGTAAAAGGAAAATACAAGTACAGCTTTTTAGATATCTACTTTTTAGAAAGAAATGTTATAGTCTTAACGACAAGTGTAGAGCTAAAGTTTGAAGGTTGAAACCATGGACATTTGGTGACTGTAAAGCGTCAGTTTGTTGCCTTGAATTGTCTCCTCGTGTGCATAGTGTTATACCTGTTTTACATATTAGATATCTGAGACAACTGATTTCAGAACACATAGTGTTATTCCCAGCCTGTGTCCCTTAGTGTAGACCTTGAGGCCAGTTCTTTTGGTCTGTAGCACTCCCTCTTGACCACTTCCTCCTCTTCTCCTACCCAGTTCCCCATCACAGCCTTACGGGAGATCAAGATTCTTCAACTTTTAAAACATGAGAATGTGGTCAACTTGATTGAGATTTGTCGAACCAAAGGTAAGTTGTTTGGAGATTGTGAGAAAATGAGGCTTCAACTTCTAGGGCTTTGGGCCTAAACTAGGTTCAGACATATCGTGCTTTGTTCTCTGGTCCTCTTTGATTGGAGTGATGCTTCCCCAGGGCCTGCCACAGCACCCAAACAGAGAAGGCACACAGAAAGTGTCTGACCAGCGAAGGAGTGTGTTAATGAGTGCTTCAGAGGGCATGGGTGCCTGTGGGTTGGAAGGGGTGGGAGCTGGTGGCAGGAGAGTGAGTTGGGTACAGATTTTTTACTTTTTTTTCCTTCCTGCCCTTTCTGCCTCAGCATCCCCCTATAACCGCTGCAAGGGCAGTATATACCTGGTGTTCGACTTCTGTGAGCATGACCTTGCTGGGTTGCTAAGCAACGTCCTAGTCAAGTTTACACTATCAGAGATCAAGAGGGTGATGCAGATGCTGCTCAATGGCCTCTACTATATCCACAGGAACAAGGTGGGCACCAGAGGTGGGAGGAGAGACCCAGGCATAAGCTGACCACGTTGCTGTGTGGGTGTGACTGAAGGACCTTCACTTTCATCCTCCTTCCAGATCCTGCACAGGGATATGAAAGCTGCCAATGTGCTCATTACCCGAGATGGGGTCCTGAAGCTGGCAGACTTTGGGTTGGCTCGGGCTTTCAGTCTGGCCAAGAACAGCCAGCCCAACCGCTATACCAACCGTGTGGTGACGCTCTGGTACCGGCCTCCGGAGCTGCTGCTCGGTGAGGATTCCCGAGCGGGCAGGGGGGCAGGGGCCGGGCACCTACCCGGCACAGCCCCTTACTGCCAGGGCTTCTTGAGCCACCGGCCCTGGGGCATCGAGTCTCAAGAGGCCCTTGGGCTCAACGGGCCCTCCTGGTACGCTCTTCTTCCCAGGGGAGCGGGACTACGGCCCGCCCATTGACCTGTGGGGTGCTGGGTGCATCATGGCAGAGATGTGGACCCGCAGCCCTATCATGCAGGGCAACACGGAGCAGCACCAGCTTGCCCTCATCAGCCAGCTCTGTGGTTCCATCACCCCTGAGGTTTGTGGCTAAGCTGAATGGGCCCTGGTACCTGTGGGGTGGGGAGATCCAGGTCTCCTTGGCAGAGGAACTGGGGAGTGGGATCAGGAAAGCTCTTCTCCGGAGAGTGGCTGGTGGAGGGCTGGGGCCTGCTCTGCAGAGCCTTCCTCTGCCAAGGCGTTTGAGTTAGTGCTGGGTTTTTATTTTTGTTTTGTTTTCTCTGAAAAACAGAAGTATGCCCATGTTAGGGTTGGCACAGGTATTCCAGATGACTTGTGCCAAAGGGCCAGGCCCTTGGTGTGTGCCACATCCTTGGTGGCACTGCTGCCTTCATCTTGGAGGGCTCCAGTTCTCCCTCAAAGGTTATCTGGGAGTGTCTGGGTTGTTTTGCCCCTGAACCCTGCCCCTGACCTCACTCTGTCCTTTCTCAACTCCTGCCCCCCCAGGTGTGGCCAAATGTAGACAAATATGAGCTGTTTGAGAAGCTGGAGCTGGTCAAGGGCCAGAAGCGGAAGGTGAAGGACAGGCTGAAGGCCTACGTCCGGGACCCCTATGCGCTGGACCTCATCGATAAGCTGCTGGTGCTGGATCCCGCACAGCGCATCGACAGCGACGACGCCCTCAACCACGACTTCTTCTGGTCTGACCCCATGCCCTCAGACCTCAAGGGCATGCTGTCCACCCACCTGACGTCTATGTTTGAATACCTGGCACCACCACGCCGGAAGGGCAGCCAGATCACCCAGCAGTCCACCAATCAGAGCCGCAATCCTGCCACCACCAACCAGACGGAGTTTGAGCGCGTCTTCTGAGGGCGGGGCCGCTGTTTTCTTTTTTCTCTGCTTTATGACTCGTGGTGGAGATGATGGGCATTTGAGGTTTTTTTCTCTAGCGCACATTTTATTTAGTCTCCACCCTGGGTACTGGGAACAACCAGCGAGTGGACTGGAGGGCTTGTTGCCAAAGGGCAAGGCGGGCACAGGGGCTGCCTGATTGCCTTGCCCTGTTCTGGATTTCTGGATGGTGCTGGGAGGGTCTCCCATGTACCCCAGGACAGGAAGTGGGGCCAGTGAGCCTCGAATGGTGACTTTCTAAGAGCTCCCAGCATGGTGGGAGGAGGGGACAGTCTCTCACATCCCCAGCCCTCCTCTTGGGATGAGAAACTGGCGAGGGGAATGGAGCTGCCTCAGGAACAGGCTGCTCTTGGCCTGGCCCTCAGGGCACTGAGGGCAGCAAAAACTCTTGGTTTCTTCAGTAGGAGAATTTTATCGTGTTTCTTTGTTGAGTTGTTCAGAGACATTCCTGGATGCAGGCCGATCAGTTACAATTAAAAGTTGACCCTTCTTTTTTTTTTTCCAGTAAGTGGTGTGTGTTTTCTGCATTCAGACCCATGGCTGGCCCAGCGGTTAGGGTTTGATTTGTCAACTTGCTGAAAGTCTTGACTCTCTTCTTTGTCCCCGTTCATGTTTCCTCATATAGTCACGGAGGACTTGGGCCTTGCCATTTCCTTCCTGGGTGCCTCCTAGACTGTGTAGTCAGGCACCTAAGGGCACGCACTGTGAGCCCCCTGTTCCTCTGCTGGGTGCTGGAGGAAGGAGCCCTGCTGTGGGGAGCAGTGAGGGTCTCCTGGGAGCCACATCTGCAGAGGTGATCAGAGACCCATCTGTGGCAGGTGACGGGTACATTCAGACTGACCCAGGAACACAGGGCTGCGGGAGGATCTGGAACGACCATTAGGTCTGTAACTTGCAGAGGTTCTTTGTGCTGCTGGGTGAAGGAGGGCTCAGAGAGAGTGACCCGGGGTGAAAGGATCACGGGCCATGGGGAGGTGGCAGTTGCATGAATCTGGATGGTGGGGTGGACAGGAGGGAAGAAATAGTTCATGTGAACATGAGGATGTGAGGGCTGGGCTGGGGTCCTTTGAGGAGCTGCAGGTACCGGCAGACTCCTGTAAGTTTTCTTAAAACTCCTGTAACAAATACCTTGAACACACTAGCTTAAAGGAACAAGCTCATCCTGTTGATTCTGGAGGCCAGATGCCCAAAAGCCATGTGTTTGCAGGTTTGTTCCTTTGGGAGACTCTTTGAGGCCCCCAGCCTCTGGTGGCTGCCACAGTCCTTAGTGCATTCTGGCTTTTTTGTTTGTCATTTTTGGTATCTAGGATGGAATCCAGGTTGCTTTGCCACTGAGCTACATCCCCAACCCTTTTTATGTTTTATATTTTGTGAGAGGGTCTTGCTGAATTGTTGAGAGTGCCTTGAACTTGAGATCCTCCTGCCTCAGCCTCCTGGAATGGTGTACCACTGTGCCTGGTACTCGGGCTTTTAAATGTATTGTCCTAACCTTTTCCTCATTTTCATATGAATATGGCATTTTCTTCTTTCTGTCTCTCTTGAGGACCTTAGTCATCAGATTTAGGACCCACATTGATAATGGTGTGACCTTACTCCAATTATATCTACAAAATCTTTTTTTTTTTTTTTTTTTACAAAAATCCTCTTAATGGCTGTTGACCTGTTTTGGATTTTAGATAACAGAAAAAGGGCTGGCCCAATTCAAAATGTTTTCTATAAAGGATAAAAGTCTTCTTTAAAAGCCCCACAYACACCCCCTTTGTTGTACTGGGGATGGAACTTGGGGCCGCTCAACTGGGCAAGTGCTCCACCAGTGAGTTACACCCCCAGTCCCAGGGTTCAGGTTGACCCAGCAATTCCCCCTGGAGAGGTCCGTTTCTTCGGGCCATTGCACAGTGCTGCTCTGTCGACTCCACTCTCTACCACACTAGAGTTGACATCCTTCATCAAGGTCCTTCCAAGGACCAGACGCTTCCAAACTTGATAACTTCCAAGAACAAAGCAGTTCCCACCTGTGGAACTCGCATTCTTATGGGTCCAGACTAGTCTGATGGAGTAAATTCTGTGGAGAACAAAATAGTGGAGGAGGAGGGAAAAGGATTGGGGCAACGGGTCAGAGTAACATGGGAGCAGAAATCCCAAGGGAACCGGGGGGTTGGGTGATACAGTTGCAGAGCTACGAAGTCTTCAGACACCTGTGGGGACAGGTGTTTCTGCCCTCCGGCGTCTGTTAGTGTTTTCACTCTGGCAATAAACCGCATTTTTAAACAGTAGGCCCTGGGCCCTGGAGCTGCTGGCTCCAAGTTCTCTCCCAGTCCTTCTCCCCAGGGTCCACCTCTTAATGGCTGGGAGGAGCTGGGGCTGCCGGAGCCCAGACACTGGCTTGGCATATGACATGGGTGCTGCCCCCATCTGTGGAGGGAGATGTGTGACTCAGAATACAAGTGTGCCCTCCGCGGGCCTCCTGGGGCTATTCCAGCACACAGCCGCTCTCCTGCAGCTTGCTGGGAGGTGGCTGGCTGTGAAGGCTTTTTGCCAGTTCATTTGCAGGTGCTCTTTATTTTTTGCTTAAGGATAATAAAATGTTATTTTTAAAAATTTTATTTTTTTAGTTATACATGACTGGAGTGTGTTTTGACATTGRAGTATAACTTCCGATTCTTGTGGTTGTACATGGAGTGGAGTTACAGTGGTCACATATTCATATATGAACACAGGAAAGTGACGTCCGATTCATTCTGCTATCTTTCCCATTCCTATCCCCCTCCCTTCCTCCAACTCCACCCTCCAATCCAGTGAACCTCAGAGACTCCTTTGGTTTTGGGGGATTGGATTATTTCACTTAGCATGATAGTCTCCAGTTCCATCCATTTATCAGCAAATGCCGTGATTTCATTCTTCTTTATGGCTGAGTTATATTCCACTGTGGACAAGTATCACTTGCAGGTGCTCTTAATGTCGCCATGCCCTGCAGGCTGGGACTGAGTTTTGTGATCTGGCTTTTTTGGACCAACATGGTGGAAGAAGAACTMCTCCAGTTGACTTGGTCTGTTAAGTCAGGGGCACCCTGTAACCTTGCTGGACCTGTGTCCCATCCTAGCCTATCAGGGCCAGAGCAAAATGGGCCCTCACAAAGAGGAGGTGAGCTGGACGAGGAAGAGAGGGGGGTCAGAGTCCAGCTCCACGCCAAGGTCTGGAGGTCTCCCAGATAGACCAACCTTCCCGCCCTCATCTCTCCCCAACCCACCTCCCCTCCTCCTGCTGCTCACCTTTAACCTCTGCCCAGTTGTTATTTAACTGAGATTCTGTAGTCAGGAAACCAGCCAGTCCCGGCTGGGATGTCCCTGGGCTGATTCCAGGATGAGGGCAGGAACCCCTCCCTGCAGGCTGGAAAGGCCAGAACTTCTGTCCCAGGCCCATCAGGACAGGGGAGGCCTTGGGAGTCTCCCAGCTTGCCTTCCCCTCTCTGGCTTAGCTGGGCTCACAGTCCCTGCTGCCGCCCTTCGGAGGTGGCCTGGCAGAGGGGTTTATACCTGCGAGTACCCCCCACTCTGGGAGGAGAGCAGGAAACCAAGGGATGACAGGTGCCAGGTTCCTGCCTGTGTCTTGGCCGATGGCTGAGAAGTTGTGGTGGGAAGTGAGCATGGAGTGGCAGAGCTCATCTGGAGGTCCTTCAGCAGTCAAAACTGCCTCCTTCCAGGTAGGCCAGCAGTGACCTGGGCAAGGCGCCTCCCCTTGCTGGCGTGCCTCCCGTGGACGGTGGGTGTAAATATCGCTCAGGGGTTCAACGACTGCAGGCCCAGGGGGGGCCTGGGCTGGACAGTGGGGACAGCTAAAATGTGCTTGGGGAAACTTGAGGGAGAGGTTTCCGGAGAGTGGGGCCATTATTTCCTGTGCTTTTTGACGAGGAGGTCAGGACTCGGCCATTTGGAGATTACTGGACTTTGCTGGGCCCAAGGGCACAGCCCTGGCGCTGTTCTCTGGGCTCTGTGCTTCCTCATCCAGCCTCAGTGCAGTCCTTGGAGGTGGGGATGGCTTGACACATGGGGGTCTGGGGCTCTGAGACGAGGCGCCTGGGATGGGAGCTGGACAGCCACCCTTGGGCTTTCTGCTCAGCTCGGGCAGAGACCGACTGGGCTGGCAGCTCAGGCTGGGCTATGGGGGCCCCCGAGGGGAGGTCAGAATTCATATCCTGACACCAGACAGCTCACCCAGCCTCTTTCTCCTGGGTAGGAGGGGACTGTGAGCGAGCACCTGCCTCCTCTCGGGGCTGCAACCCAAAGTGAAGCTCTGGCTGTGAACTGCAGTGTTGGGGCTCACCCAGCATCCCCCAAAAGGGCAGTGGAGGAGGGGCAGCCCCAGATGGCCAGGGTTTGGGAGTGGAGCCATTTGAAGCCATCCATACCTCCTCACTGTAGAGCCCCAGAGAGGTGAACTGACACCCAGGGACACATGATGGATCATTCTTGGCACTAGGGCTCGGCCTCCCTCAGCCAGGGAGGGAGAACTGAGGATGCACCCCGGGGGCTTCTCACCAGCCATGGGGTCTCCCTCAAGTAAAAGCCAGCTCAAGACCCTGTTGACCAGGTGACCCTAGTCACCTTCCAAGGCACAGGCCAGATGGGAGCAGGGACCAGGATTGATGTGGGGGTGGAGCTTGGCGCCTGATGTTGCAGATTCTCTAAGTGATTAAGCCACTCTTGCTATTAGGCCCTTTTTGTCTGCCTTGAGAAATGGATCTCAGAATACACCCTTCCCTTGAGGGACAGCATGAGGATTAAATGAATTGATGGGTTTGACAGTCTCAGCCCAGTGCAATCCAGAGAGAACTCAAATTAAAAACAGTAGCCAGGGAGGGGCTGGGGTGGTGGCTCAGTGGTGGGTCGCTTGCCTTGCATGCATGAGGCACTGGGTTCAATCCTCAGCACCACATAAAAATAAATAAATAAATGTATTGTGTCCATCTACAACTAAAAAAGAAATCTTAAAAAATAAATAAATAAATAACAGTAGCCAGGGAGCCCCAGCTTGATTAGAGGACTGGGATCAGGACCCACCCAAATCAACCAGAGCTGGATTTAAGCTGAATCTTTGCTCTGCCACTTGCCAGCTGTGACCTTAGCAGGTGATTCCTCTCTGGTTTTGTTTCCTCACCTATAAAATGGGGGAGTTGTGCTAAGGTTTAGCACTTGGCATGGAGGAGACCTGAGAGGTTTTTTTTGTTTTTTTTTTGTTTGTTTGTTTTGGTACTTGGACAAAGGGAGCACAAAAAAAAAATAGTCATCTCTAGTCTTACTACCCAGAGCTAATCACTGTCAGCTTTTAGAGAATACTTCCCAGCTGTTTCCTAAATTATAATTATTTTAAAGAGTAATATCCATACTAGTCATCACTAGGCTTGCTCTATGAACAATGTTTTGTTTTGTTGTTGTTGGGGATTGAACCCAATGCCTTGCATATGCTAGACACGTGCTCTACCATTGAACTATGTTCCCAG